AATCTTTCAATAATCTATTTACGTCTGCCAGTGGGCAAACGCCTAACGAGATTGCTATGACTATCGCTATCGCTTACGTTTTTTTGTTATTTCTGACCACCGAAGTTTTTCAAACGTTTTGACGTCACAAGCAAGTAAACTTCCGGCCAAAGTGACATTACACTGTATCGTTTGACGTTTAAATGACAGTCGTGTGACGTCACACACTAGTAAGACGCCATAATGTACAGAGAAAAACGTTATCGCGGCAATTTGAAAATCGTTTTTTTTTTAATCAATTTTTTGAAGTTATACTTCTTTAGGCGCGTTATGAAAAAATTATGAGAGTGAAATTTTAAGATGCGCGCGCATCACTGTAACACAAAAAATTAACAGCATGAAGTTGGTCCACCAAAAACCACTTCTTTATTTTTTGTAATAAAGTAATAAAAAGTATTTATTAATCTGGAACAACGGAACCAAAGCGCGATTCAGGAGACTACAGCGCCATCTCTTGACCATTGGTGTAGTAGAACCAAAAACCACATCTTTATTTTTTGTAATAAAGTAACAGTTATAGGTATTCATATTTATAATATTTATCCACATGTTTCTAGTTTGTATATTCGGAATACGTGTTTGAGTTTCATACAAGTGCAAATCACATATGTTCTAATAAATTATATTCAGTAGCGATTTTAATTGAATATTTTGATTATTTATTTATTTTTTCAAATTAAAACTGAACTTTATTGACTGTGTCCTTTTCCAGACTTTTTATTAATTTATTGTAATTAATTATTTGCATGCAATTAAAAACTAATTTTAAACGATGCCAAAGAAGGATAACTTCTCACGCGCCTACATAAGTACACGCACCCATTTTTTTACTTAATTACGCAACAGGTTTAAATATATCTACCTTTTATGGACTCTATAAACATTGGTAAGGAACGTGAGATCGTTTTCTGAAACTTGTCAAATACCCTTGAAGTAAGAAGCTAATGTTGAAGCCTAGATTTTATAAATACTGTTTTGTTTACTGAGCCGAAACCGGCGGCGTTCTTAGCATTCTATCACACGGTGATAAAAAAGATTCCTTCGTACCAAAAGTTCAGGTTTCTGACTTCAATCAAATGTTTCCATCCCTCCTGATGTGGGTGGCCATTAGTCCTTCGATTTTAATGATAAAGCTGACATACGGCTAAGATAATTAAAATCTTGAAGCCTATATTTTGTAAATACTGTTTTATTTATTGAGCGCACACCGGCGGCGTTCATAGCATTCTATTACACGGTTATAAAGAAGATTCCTTCGTACTTAAAGTTCAGGTTTCTGACTTCAACCAATGTCTACACCCCTCCTGATGTGGGTGGCTATTAGTCCTTCCATTTTAATGATACAGCTGACATACGGCTAAGATAATTAAAATCTTGAAGCTTAGATTTTTTAAATACTGTTTTATTTATAGAGCCCACACCGGCGGCGTTCATAGCATTCTATTACACGGTTATAAAGAAGATTCCTTCGTACTAAAAGTTCAGGTTTCTGACTTCAACCAATGTCTACACCCCTCCTGATGTGGGTGGCTATTAGTGCTTCCATTTTAATGATAAAGCTGACATACGGCTAAAATAATTAAAATCTTGAAGCCTAGATTTTGTAAATACAGTTTTGTTTACTGAGATGACACCGGCGTTCTTAGCATTCTATCTCACGGTGATAAAGAAGATTCCTTCGTACCAAAAGTTCAGGTTTCTGACTTCAATCAAATGTCTCCACCCCTCCTGATGTAGGTGGCCATTATTCCTTACATTTTAATGATAAAGCTGACATACGACTAAGATAATAAAATGATGCAATAATGAATTTATATTTCTCTTGGACTTTGTACCTACGTAGTGCATACCAAACGTAAACTTTGATTTTATCTTCTGTTCCTTAATCCAGAACATATATATATATATATATATATATATATATTTCTTACACTCACACCAATAGCCTAGCCCCAAAGTAAGCACTGTAAGGCTTACTTGGGGCTAGAGAACAAATGCTCGTATTCATCACACAAACTTCTGCCCCCACCGGGATTCTAACCCAGAGAGACTTAATAATAAGGTAACTGTTGCAGTTTGTCTGTTATAAAAGTCTCGAAGTATGTTTAAGAAATTAATGATCGCAATACTATGATTCAATTGATCTCAATCACTTTTAAGATTGATTGAAATAGGTTTACCAGTTAACATTTTTTGTGATAGCAATGGAATAAGACAACTTTATTATGGTTTGAAGAACAATTAATTTAATCGACAGCTCAGAGTGCCACTATTATGTAATTAATCTTGGAAGTAACATATTGAGGACGAAGTCAAGAAAGCCTCAAACATTATTAAATATTTTAATAATTAAGAGAGGTAGGCCATAGTGAATTTTCCGCTGGAATTGGTGCGGTCTTGGGAACTAACCTTTACCTTACAGATGACAAGACTCCATTGCCTTTTGGAGGCAGTGCCGTCTTTGACCTATTGGAGGCCCTGGCATTTTTTTTTTTTTTTACATTAAATAGGCTTAGGCTTGACGGCCACGCGACTGATGAAGAGCGACGTAGCAGCCTAAGGTGGGACGCGCTTGCCTAGAAGAAGCCGATTGACTCGCACTTGAAGAGCCCCGGATTATAAGGTGACTGGAAACAGAGATTCCGGCAAAGAGTTCCACAACCTAGCTGTTGAAGCAAACCGTTTAGTACGAGTTTGTGGGACCTCTACGGTATATCTGTGGCGTTTTGCCGTCTCTCTGGTGGTTCTGTGGTAAAAAGGTGAAGGTGGAATTAAGTTATGTAACTCCGAAGCACACTCTCCGAAATGTAACCGGTAAAAAACCAAAATATTAGGATAATGGGGCCCCTATGACTTCCGTTTGGTGATTTAACAGGAACTAGGGACTTTGTATTTGATCTGAGGGGGCCCCCTATCGATCGCGGGGCCCTGGGCACTTGCCCAAAGTACCCACTGGGAAGGGTCTGTTTGGAGGTTTTGTGTTTCTGTCGGTGAGATAAGTTCCAGGGCTCCACGGGGTAGGGCATTGTGTCAGGGTAGGCAACGGCGCGAATTATATTTTGGGATCATCATCATCATCATCAGCCTTTTTATGTCCCCACTGCTGGACCACAGGCCTTCCTTATGGATCGAATAGAGAGATTGGGCCATGACCACCACGCGGGTCCAGTACAGATTGACGGGTGCTAACGACCCCAAATGCAGCCGGGACCAACGGCTTAACGTGCCTTCCAAAGCACGGAGGAGCTCGAGATAGAAGATTTTTGGTCACCTATCCAATGACCGACCACTGCTAAAGTTTTTTGGTATCGCAAGCGTCATGTCATGGTCATGGCGGATGATTACAATCAGGCGAGTTACACGATTTTTTCACAAAAAAAAACATTTCTTAGTTCATGGTTTGCAAAGCCCTGAATGATGGCTTTATTTAGGTGTTGAAAAGGTGTTTTCCGTCGTCCCACATCCAAACATTTAAGACGCATTAACATAATTGGAGCACTGACTCATTAAACCGGCATTATTAAATAGAAATTATTTTTGCCTGTTTCTCTTTTAAAAAGGGATACAATTTGAAGGTTAATTCATTGTTACTGTACAGTGTTTATTAAAGAAATTAATTTAAATTAAATTAAGAGGTATGAAGCCGAAGAGCAACACGCAGCTAGAAGGGGAGTAGGCATACACAGCTTTCCCCTCTGTCGAATTGGGCATACAAACGCTAAATGTGTGCAGGATTTGGTGGTGTATTGTGCCATTGTTTATGTGTGAGTGTTGTATTCACAATTTTGTTTTTTACTCATGTACGTTGCACTACATTTGTGTGCATATCCCCCGTCCGCGCGCAAGATATTGCAGAATGATTGAGTAGAATTATGTCGCTATGGCTACTCCCTTCCGTGTTCCTATATATATATGGCATCCTAGGCCGCATCTCTGGTTGTAGGCAGATTTAAGGAAATGTATTGTGTAGGCATTTGATGGGGCAGTTATTGTCCACGCTATTAAAGTAGAGCCACACTAACGGGACATTTCATGAAATGGTTAACTGAATAATCTTTACCTTACACTATGAAAGACTTTGATCTCGGTTACCTACTTCTACAGTATATGGTTGGACGTGAATTGTGTATAAGACGCTGCCCGAAACTCTAGCGCTGACCATTATTGCGCAGAAGTAAAAATTAAGATGTCTTGGGGGGAAACGAGGTGCGCGGGTGGGCGTGCGTTGCGCCGATTGGCTCTCCAGACGTACCCATGCGCAGCTATCCCTGACGCGTTTTGTTCAGCGCTAAAGTTACGTGCCGCGACCTGTAAACGACTGTACACCTGCGCGAAGCAACTTTAGAGCGGACTACAAGTTTTTTTTTTATTCGATTATTTACAATATTTCTTTTTAATTATGTTATTTTAATCAAATTTCAACATGTTAAATAATATACTGTCCGTGCTCGAGGCTGCTATTTGATACAGCCAGGGGCACGGGCAGAAGTCTGAAAGAGGAAGCATAGAAGGATAGTAAAGATAAAAGTAGGTATATAAGAAAATAGGGAGATGAAAAACAAAGTAAAGAAAAGTTAATTTACATTAGTGGCGTTAAATACAACTCGTTTGCTTCGAGTTGGCCGTTGATAGCCAATCACAGGCACTGGCGCGATCTGTAGCACCCACCAATCCGCAATCAAACCACATGATGGATCAAGGCCCGGTCTCCTTTAGGGAAGGGCTGTGTCAACACAAGAAACACGTCCCAAAGAGTCCATTATCTGCTATAAAATGTTTATTTTTACACAATGAAATATATTTAGGTATCCGTCTTTTGTAGGTATAGAAGCATCCGTGTTAGAATTGCATTCAAGGACATCGCGACATCATTAATAGGCTGAATAATTATTACTTAACAATGTGGATCGGACTTGCATTTACATTTTAAAAGGCTTAGTATGAAATTTACTTCTTTACAGATCTATAAGGGACTGGATGTGGTAACTGCTAAAGCGAGTCAACAAGAACGTGCCACGGCCACCCATCATCTCCTAGACATCCTGGAGCCCCACCAGATGTTCACTGTCGTGGATTTCAGAAACAGAGCACTCAAGATCGTATCCTTTCGAACGGTAAAATTAAAAGCAACTAAAGATCCTATTCCAAACAATTATTTTGTAACTCAGGAAAAAGAACATTTTATAGCTTCTTATGTATGAAATGAGGGTATACCTTGTATCGCAGAACTTTAAATGTCATAATATTTTTAATACATAACTGCGGATGACATAAACTTAATTTCACAGAAAATCTTTTGGCATTCACTCACTTTAGCAGACATTCAAACGCATAATTTTGTAAGCTCATCTCAGTATGAATCATCTTTAGGCTTTTCTTTAATATCCACAATTATTAAAAAGCAGAACCATCATATCACAGAAAAGTGGAATGCTCTGCCCGCTCACGTATTCCCTCCCTCTTACAACCTGGGATCCTTTAAAACAGGCGAGAAGAAGTAAAATGCAGGCCGGCAGGGTGAGAATGGCTGGTGTGGCAGGTAGAACTGCTGTATCAGCTATCTTCGCGTCTGGACTTCACCTTCACTTAACATCAGGTGGGGTGGAGTCATTTGTCGGACCCATCTATTAAAAAAAAGTCACAGTCAGAAATATCTTTTGGCATCCAAATATTTATCATTTCCTAATTTTATTTTATTTATCTATCATATTAGGTGGCTGACTAAATTCTAGTCGCAACACTTACCTAACCCTTACAACTTATGATAGTATAAGTAAACGTGCTTAACGAAGTTATGCAGAATTAACTTTTGCCAAAGATAAGCCTAGATTATACCTAATAAAATACTGCGATCTTTGAAGTATGCAATAGTGAATTCGGACATATAAACATTCGGCCTAACAAAAAGGACTTGATTCGTTTAAAGAAAATTTTACCAAGTGTGTTATGCCAAATGAATTTTGCCAGATACAGAGAAACATGCATAAAGTTGTGGTTTTTACTTTTTATAAAAGTGTATACATAACACAAATTAAGCTTACTAATAAGTTTGGCATTTCAGTTCGCAAATCTTCATAATACTGTAAACCTTTCGGGAGGAAAATTGTGAATTATATATATTTACTTACATTATTGCTATTGTATTGTAACTCCCATGAGTACCTTCCTTGTAATACTTAAAAAAACATTAGTTAAAAATGGAATTTCATTAGTTATTCAATTCATCTGAATCGGTAGAAAGCGTCTGGAAAGCTTCACGATTCAAAATCTGATTGATTACGTAGAATTTTATTTCTCGTCAGAGACTAGGAAAGACGCATCTCTTTGAGTATTTTTGAACCATAGTATTTTCCATAAAATCAATGAAAGAATGCTGATAGATACTCAAGTGGTAATGAAGATGTTAAGGTCACAGCACTCGGCGGCGGCAACGCTCCTCAGTGACGTAACACGCTATTCACGCTTGACCGCGCCTCTTTAATCAAATAAGCCGATATGGACTTCAAGAAGGCTTGTGTGGCTTTTTGCGTTTCGGTCATTCACCGGCTAAGCCGATTAAAGATCCCATAGGTGAGCCTATACATACACAAAACGCATGACACACGACTTTGAACTCTGGAGCCGCACCGAAAAAAGTCAATCCACGTACTGATTAATTTATTAGTGCTGCCCATTCTTAGATTAATATTAGAGTCAGTATGAATTAATTTGTGAACATTGAATGATCAAATAGATGTAATTGCCCATAAGCCTGTTGAAAAACTATAGATATTTTTAACTAAAAACTTTCTCCGCAGTCAAGGGTCAGTTGAAATGGATTAATATGTTTGTATATTTAGAAAGAAAAAAGATACTTCAACTTAATATAAATCTCCTTTATATTTACTAAGTTCTTTATAGATGACACCAATAATAATATTAGATTATTATTGTACTTTTTTTTTCATAAAAACTGCTAACGTCAGAATGTAGCTGCCACGATCACATGCTATTTAGTTAAGAATACAATAATACCAATCCCTAAACATCTAGTCAAGTCTAACTGGCAACTTTTGCTGTTTATGAAATTCAAGCTATCTTTTAATTAATTTATCATGCAAAGTAAAGTATTCTCTTTATCTTTACCACTCTCTGAATCTGTCTGTCAGTTACTGTTGTTGATTCGGTTAAGTAGACGAGCAAAAACTTTGGATTGAAGACATCATCAGACATAAAGTTCGTTTAGAGAACACATATATTAGTAGGACTGTCAATAGACTAGAGTACGACCAGGAAAATTATGGGTTCTTGTAAATATGAACTGTATTTATAGGTTCATTAGGAGATTAGGTCTCCAGGGGGCCAATCGCCTAACGGAAATGCTTTGGGAAACGCTAACGCTTACGATTTTATATTGTTATTTCTAGCCGCCTGAGGTTTTCGAATACCTCACGCTCATTTTTTTTAATATTGTTATTACCAATGCAAAAGAAAAAGAAAGAGCGCGAAGCTTTTTGAATACCTCAGGCTGCTAGAAATAACAAAATAAATTCGTAAGCGTTAGCGTTTTCCAAAGCATTTCCGTTAGGCGATTGGCCCCCTGTTTTCCGATATAAATGTTTACAAAGCCTCCATAAAGAAACAATCAGGTTTGGGGCTAGTTCAAGAAAACGAACGTACGGTTATGGAATCTGGTTCTTGCATTATCAATAAAGAATATTTTTGTAATGTTTTCTCGTGTTTTGTAATGAAAAAAAAAATGGTTGCCTGTAAAGTCGGTTTTACGGGCGAAGATTTTACGTGACAACGTCTTTTTCTCGGTAGAATATTTATTGATATGAATATAATTAAATTGCACAATAGGAACAAGGAATTGAATGAAAATAAGAATTGCACAAATTTTAACTATAGAAATATATTTTGTTTACTAAAACATTGTACATGTAAACTTAAACTTAACACGAGAGACTCATCGTAACGTTACCGAGCGTTACACTTTTTCATAAGTGACTCCCAGCCGCAACCTAATTTAAGACGTTGTCACGTCAATATTCAATATAAACTATGTAAGTTTGTGTAATGGACAAGTTGTCATGCGGGATGGATGCATCCCGCATGACAACCATATATTCACACCTTTAAATGTGCACAACTTCATAATATCATACTGCATACCTACTCACTTTCACTTAATTATGTGCTCAAAAAGTTGTCACGAGAAAATTCGCAAATTCAAAACACCATTACTAACATCTATGTTTTACCATTACCAAGAAATGGAAAGAAAAAAAGTCTTTTGTCGTTTTCTAATCTTTATATATATAATTCTTCTGTGAGTGTGTATGTCACTGAACTTCTCTTAAACGACTGGACCGATTTTGATGAAATTTTTTGTGTGTGTTCAAGGAGATCTGAGAATGGTTTAGATTCACAATTTTGTCCGCTGGACAATGTTTTTTTAATTTTTTTTTTTATGGCGGTACGAAGTTCGCTGGGTCAGCTAGTAATCTATATATATAAAACTCAAAGGTGACTGACTGACATAGTGATCTATCAACGCACAGCCCAAACCACTGAACGGATCGGGCTGTTTGGCATGCAGGCAGATGTTATGACGTAGGCGTCCGCTAAGAAAGGATTTTGATCAATTCTACCCCCAAGGGGATAAAATAGGGAATGAAAGGTTGTATGAAACTTTGTCAATTTTAAACCGATCGGGCTGAGACTTTGCATGCAGGTATAAGAAGAATCATAGATGAATGTCATTGTGTATAATACAAGTCTGAGAACAAACACTGTAGTCTACACTTCAGCTCTACACCGAAGCGAAGCGCGGGCGGGCTGCTAGTCTTTATATAAATCTGTTATTTAGATCTTCAATAAATACTCAGTTTCACTTTCGCTAATTGTATGCAAGTTATAACTTGTACTAGTCAAATTGATTATTATTTTAACAACGATACAACTACAAAAACTTTCATTCGCATATATAATTTAATAAGTTCAAAGCATTTAAAGTAAACTATTTCATTCAGGCTTTCATCTTAGTTTTGGCAAGTTGCATTGTTTTCGCCAGACTGAAATAAAATAAAAGACGTAAGTTTGTAATTTTTTTGATTAATTTTCTGAACAAAAAACACAGATAGACAATTTAACGGAACAGGGGAAAATTCCGATTGTAGTAGGCGGAACAAATTACTACATCGAATCTATAGTTTACAAAATACTAGTTGAAGACATGCAGGACGCAGAAGCGCTACTTTGGGACAAAAGTCGAAGAAAAAGAGATTTTGATGAAGTAGAATATACGGAGCATGAAACCATTAGTAAAAAAAGAAATAACCAGACGAAAGATCCTGTTTCATTAGACACACAAATGCAAACTAGTACCATAAATGCAGAAGATAACACTGGCAAATTGGATATCAATGATGAGAGAACAAAAGAGAAGCTCAAAGAAGATGTTGATAATGAATCTAAATTCACCAATGAAGAGATCCATCAAAAATTAAAATCTTTTGACCCTGTCATGGCATCACGTTTACATCCCAACAATAGAAGGAAAGTGCTAAGGTAAGTATACTTTTATTTTAAGTATATTCTTTATTGTTTGACAATCTGTACCTTTACTATAAGTTACTGAATCTATTTGGTTTTCAAATACATCCACCACCATTCATTGATTCCATATCACAAAATAAAAAGGCAATCGCCTCTATGCATGAAACTATTTATTACACATAATAGTATATATTTGTTGTTATCAATTTATTTTGTCTCCAAGAATTGTAAATCTTATGTCATCTGATTGAATTCTAGGCGTTTGTTATAGTGCGTTTTATCATTAATTGAATGTCAAAGTTCGTTATATTGTCGTAACATAATTGTTATCTTTGTATATATCTCTTATGTTACGTAACTGGAGTAACTTGAAATTACTGTGTAAACATTAAAGATGACTTTGTTTGAGCGTCGTGACCTTTAAAATAAATTTTAAAGAATAATTTTCAGATCGGACTAAGATATTTACCAATAGAGCATTAAAATTTACTTTTAATAATTTAGGAAAACAGAGCCTAATAAAATTTTAACATTTATCTCTTCGTGATATTGGCTGCTAAATTATTTAACAAGACAGCTTTTGGTAACGTTCGCCGGATATTTGAGATGTTGCGTAGTTTCTCTGAGATATTGTGAATTTTCTTTCAATTATTACCTATTCTTTTACAACATTTTCGCGGAAAAGCAAATGTTTCCCTATACATATTGTATGTTTTTCCTTATTTGCTTTCATAAAATGATTTCTTGCTTTGTCGAGCAGACAACTAAAGAAAATATAAAATATATATGCCAGCTGCTAACTTTCCCGCGCAATAAAGTTTCATAGAGTACTGATGAATTATGTAAATCTTATCTTACGTACCACATCAAGAATGTAGCACAAATTATGGTACTTACTTTTCTGGTGTTGAATCAGTTTATGATTTTGTCATTTGACTTTAGTCATACTATAGTTTCCTCTTTCAAAATTCGTTCTGACTTCTGAGTATTCATTTGCATTCAGCATTGAGATGTTGCGAATGACCGCTAGACGCTAGAGCATTAACATTTACTTAGCACTTAACATTTAGCTTAGTTTTATTATTAGTATGTATTTATATTCTGGGAAAACTTTAAAAAACTTTTCAAAAGATTTTCACTTTTACAACTAATCATATTTAAGTCACAACTCGAATTAGAATCGGTTCTACAATCGACGCATCTAATTTTATCTCGACGCTCATAAAATTTGTTAAATCGCGGAAAAAACGGGCCATGTTGCGTCACCGGTTGACCAGTTTGCCCCATAAACGAATTTTAATAGTTCGCAGTCAGCTGTCTGAGAGAACTAGATAAGTACCATTCTCCTTTCTGCCTGTCGTCAAGCAAAAGCAATATAAGAATTGGGTGGTTTACATAAAACGTCAGGGCTTGAAGGTCACCCGATGACATGAAAAGATACGTCCAGTATCGGAGAACCCCTCCCCGGCGAATCCGGATTATGTTAGCTTAGAAGTTAGGGAAGTGCGGTATCGACTGGGGGCTCAAGTTATAGTGGCCGCGCCGACTTCCGTGGGTTGTTGACCGTAGCCAAGGCTTTCCTAGTTTCGCGCGTGTGCGTAACATGCGACCTTGACTTCGCTACCCGACACTGATGTTACCAAATTTGACGATTCCTGCGGACTGTGCCGTTTTAGATGTTCGTGCTATGATATACTTCACATGACTAATATAAATGTGTAACTATGGCGATAATGCGAACTCTTTTTGGCCACTGCAGAATTTGATAAGTAAAATATACAAAGAGATAGCCAGTTTATAATTTTATCAGTGACTTGCACTAAACTGTTATCACTATAATTTTCTTTTGATCCCTCTTATTAATTACAATGGCATTCGCGGTGCCAGTTTTTTAAAGTTAGCTTTTCTTTTCATAAAATGATTGTGTAGTTTTGTCATATGCAAATGTTGTTTGGGAACGTTTGAAGTTTCGGTCAGAAAATTATATATTCTGTTCTTCTAAGGAATCAACCAAAAATTTAAACATCATGATATGATATTATTTACCTTTTGATTGTGAAAGGCTTTTTACTTATTTGATATTTATAAGCTGAAGTATAATGTTCTGATTTCATTTCAAAGAAAACATTATCAATTTCGAATCGATCATTTAGGTAGACTTGTCATAAAATTAACTAAGCTATAATTTTATGACATGAAATTTATCTTAATTCTTCTATGTTATATCTAAAATTCTCTTGTCACAGTGTTTGAAATAAAACTCCTCTGAAACGGCTTTACCGATTCTTATGAAATTTTGTGTGTATATTCAGTAGGTCGGACATAAACTAGTTTTCATACCCCTAAGTGAAAAGGTTGGCCCATCCCAATTTTATGATTATTGTTGCCGACCTCTTTTATAGATTTAGTTTTTATGGTTTTTGAAGTGATTTTAACGTATTGACATTTTTATGATTTATGCTATCAAAATTTTTATATTATTTGGTTACTTACTTTAAAATAGTGTAAATAAACCCATTGCGTTCTAATCCTAGCCTTCATTTTCCATCCCACTGGCTCTCCGTTTCAATTATGATTTGGCATTAATACCAACAATCCAAACTTATTGTCTCTTCTACCACCAGCCCCTATTTTCATGGCGGTACGAAGTTTGCTGGGTCAGCTAGTTACTTACATTTTTTCATAAAGCCGGACAATATATTGAACAGATTCAACAGACTCCTGTTACTATCTCTTATCTATTAGACAAGTCCGTCCGTCTGTGGTGCTGTTTCAGCGGCCAAACCGTAAGAGATAGATAAAGAGAATATTTAAGTTATAAGTTAAGAATAGTCTGATAAGACTACAAACCGGATTTGAGTAACGTAGCACTTCCGGTTTTCGAGAAATCACGAATTTCAAACGAAACCACACAAAATCTCCGAAGTTCTCAATTAATTAAATACATTTTTTTTTTAATCAGGTTTTGGTGAACATTTGGTTCACTGGTTTGCTAGTTAATCTATATTATAGAAGTCAAACAACGATATTAATATCGTTGACTTCAAATTCTATTTGATTATGCAATCTGTTTCAGAAATAAAATATATATTCAATATATTTTATAATCTTTAATAACCAATAACTGTGGTCACCCTTCCATTATCGTGGTGGGCCCCTCGATAACCCCGAATTATTTATCATTCGTTTATAACAACGACCTGTGATACGTAAATTAACATATATCTAACACTTGATAATGACTACGTCTACGTGCTAAAGAATCGCGAGGCCCTTTAGCAATGCAATTAACTTTGATAGGAGCGTGGTTTGGATTAATATGTTACACGATTTAAGTAAAAAGATAAAAAAGTAGGGATGTTGAAAGTTGAAAAAAATATCGATATATCGATACATCGATATTTTAAAAAATATCAATATCGGCTTCGATATATCGCGAAAAAAACATCGATATATCGATATATCGGACCAATTTTCCCAAAAATATCGCTCACGAAATATGACACGCGGAATAATAATGGAACGAAAATTATCTCCCTAAAAATAGACCCTATTTTCGAATGATGACATAGACAATACTAAATACCGCACACATCATAGATATGTTGTATATCATTAATCTGAGATCCAGTTACGATTTTTCCAGATACGAATTTAGTTAGATCGTGATATGCCGCTAATAATTAAAAAAATATCGTTTTTGATACGAATTTCGATATTGGTTATTTTGTATCGATGTATCGATATATTTTCAACAAGCCTATAAAAAAGCTTTGCGTTTACAATGAACTCGTACAAGGTTAGGGACATATTTCATGGTGGGTTATTATATATTTTAACTCATTGTTATAGAACTTAGTTTGTCCTTGAATAGGGATGATGACGGTGTTAATAAAACGAAATCCTATTAAGTTTGTCAATTAGATTATGAAAAAAGAATTGACATATATATTTTTTCTTTTGCCAATCAACCAAAAAATTACAAGGTTAAAGTTGGTCAAAGTGCGAGGTTGGGACGTCAATTTTTAGTAAAAATTTTACCAATATATGACATCTTGCGACATTTTGAATCAATATATCTCTGTAATGTTTTGATTATGTGACTAAAGAAAAAAATCTTTTTGATAAGCTAATCTGATGGACTTGGAAAAAAATATAACATGCTTTAAGAGAAAAAATTCCATGCGGACCAGGCAGCAGACGGGACTCGAACCCGCACCCTTCGCAATCCGGGCGAATGCACTGACTAATTATGCTCTAACGGACCGCGTCGAAATTCTTCTAGCCATTCTTAAGCTGCAAGGCACCGGCATCTCTTCGCATTATAGGTAACCCACAATGTCAAATAGAAGACTTTTACAAGTATTAAACATTTGAAAGAAGAAATAGCAATTATATTTATATTTTTTTCAAGTTATATTTTCTTTAGATTTAAACATCAAGCAGTGAAACATGCTTTAAAATAATAAAAAAAAAATGCTTTAAGAGTCCTGAAGTAGATACCTAATTCTTGCAAATCCATAGTTTAAAACGTTTTTGGTGCATCCCACAGCATCTGGTGGCGTACTTGGCTGAAACTGATAATTCTGTACAATACCTACGCGTCAGATACAGATTAAAAGTGTTTTGAAATTAACGCGTGGCAAAAGAAAAATAAACGAAAGTCCAAAACTACAACAATAAAATATTCCACTTTACTATTATGCGTTCGCGTTTTGTGTTATGTAATTTAGCTCAAACATATAAACAGACTGTTCCAAATTTTGTTTATAAATACATTTATTAATTTTATTGTCTTTTAGAATACCATCACTGTTATGTTTAGATGTCTGAAAAAAGCTTGCACAACTATGATGTTTAAAACTTTAAAAGTTATAGATACGTCATACACGCTTCTGATTTGGAAATATCAGGTAATTGCCCGACTTGCATTCAGTCGTTCTCGCTCTCACACCGCGGCTACAGTTTGCTACAACGTGTAAATATTTTACGTTTTTCCAGCCCTAAAAGCC